ATAGAGGGAACTATGTGGGAGATGCCAGGGAACTGTTTCGGGAAGAAGACATTCTGTGCTGGCCTACCTTATGGGTGGGAGCAGCTTCTTTCCATTGGCTGCATATTTGGAACTGGTTGCTATCTTTAAAATTACCAGATGGGTACTCAGTCATTCTCTCCCTGTCCAATGCCATGCAAGGATGAAGGTCTTATTCACTTACAGCAAGAGCTGGGTGGGTGATTCAACCATTTTGGAGAACAATTTGGAACTATGCCCAAAGGGCTACAAAAATGTGCATACCCTTTGATCCAGCAATAGCACTTCTAGGGCTATATCCCAAAGAGATCAAACAAATGGGAAAAGGACCCACATGTACAAAAATATTCATAGCACCTCTTTTTGTGGTGGCAAAGAATTGGAAATTGAGAGGATGCCCATCAATTGGGGAATGGCTGAGCAAGTTGTGGTATATGAATGTAATGGAATACTATTGTGCTCTAAGAAATGATGAACAGGCTGACTTCAGAAAAACCTGGGAAGACTTATATGGTCTGATGCTGAGTGAAGTGAGCAGAACCAAAAGGACTTTGTACACAATAACAGCCATGTTATTCGATGACTAGTATTGTTAAGCTGAACCCTTCTCAGCAATATAAGGATCTAAGACATCTCCAGAGGCCTCGGGATGGAAAATGCTGTCCACATCCAAAGAAAGAACTATGGAAGTCGAATCGCTCTCACTTATTTTTACCTTCTGTTGAGTTTTGTTTCATCTTTTTGATGCTTCTTCCTATTGGTTTTAATTTTTACTTACAACTTCACTAATGTGAAAATATGTTTAATGGGTATGTAAATGTAAAGCCTATATCAGATTGTGCACCTCTTGGAGAGGGTAGGGGGAGGAAAAGAGAGAAAATTTTTCAACTTAAAAGCATATGGGAAAAAAAAATTTTAAAATTATTAAAAAAAAAAAAGACCTGGGTGGGGCAAGTGATATACTAGTCATAGGACTTGGATTTAAATACCAACTCTGCCATTTGTTCTTAGTGTGACCCTGAGCAAGTCACTTAACCTCTCTTGTCCTCAATTTCCTCATCAGTAAAATGAGGCAGTTAATCTCAATCACCCCTGAGGTCTCTTCTGTTAAACTATGGGTTAATAAGTGTCAGTTCTGGTACTCAGACCCTAAACTTCTGACGACAAGTCCATTACATTCTGCATTATCCTATAATTCTTCTGTAAACAACAAAATCAAGATTAGAAATTATCCTGATAGGCTAGAAAGTTGAAACAGGACAAAATATAAAAGTAAACATCAAATAGATGAATGTAAAGCCCTATACTGAAGTGTGAATGACTGCTTTGCTCCCTCCACCTAAAGACCAGGTATGCTATATTTCCTCTCCTCCTGCAGGGTTCTCTAGTACACAGGGGGGTTGTGTCTCATCTCCGCCACTGTTTCAAGCCCCCAGTGATTGTTCCCCCAATTTTAGGAGTCCAGACACTTGAGTTCCATTTAACCGCATAACAGTCAGATTAGCTTTTACAAAGGAACATTTACTTCAAAGGTATAGCAAGAACAGACATACAAATTTTTCCCTCAGCACCTCAGGGGAATAATTCCCCCTATTATCGCCTTAGTCTTTGAGTCTGGCAGGTCCAATAGGCAATATAATAAGAGGGCTGGCTCAGAGATTGCCTTTGACTTTGATTTTCAAAGATCACCATTAGTTATTCCAATATTTACTCCTGGGAAAACTTCTGGTTAAAATGGTTGCTTGAACAGAAAGCAGATCATAAGCCTGAACATATTTACTTTGGCAAAAATTTTGAGGTTCACAACAATCTGAATAATGATCAAGAAATCCAATGAGAAACTACAGTAAGTGATTTCTCCGATTCATAACTGCACAAAAAGTCAACCAGAAATTCAAAGGTGAGAGGGAAGGGGGTTCACCAGAAAAACCACCTCCAGTGCAGGAGAATTTCCTGACAAAACCAATAATGGTCAGGAACACATGTAACCTGCAAGGCTTTGTGTCTGGAGGCAGCAAGAGTGAAGAACTACCCTGGTAAAGCCCCAGAGCTGTCAGAAAGTTACAGGATCGAGACCTAGGAAGCACCAGGGACTCATTGCTCAGACCAGCATACCCCAAGTCTAGGGACTCTGAAGTCCCTAACATTCTGTTCTGAGATACCATAGCAGGCCCTGAAGAATCTACATTCTGAAACTCAAAGATCTAGGCAGCCCACCTCCGGGAGGCAGAGGTCAACACAGTACCCCAGAGAACCTAGGGTAAGACTAGGGCCAACCACCCCATCTATCAATTCAACAGAGGGTAGAGACTGGCCCTGGCATAAACCCCAATTCAGAAACTAAATCTAGAAAGATGAGCAAATAAAACACCAACCAGTAACAAAAATTATTGTAAATCCAAGGATACCCAAAAAGGAGAGTAACTCTTTAACAACTGCAAACACAAAGACTCAAAGGAAAAATAAAATGGATTTTCTATTAGGACTACATGAATGTTTAGAAAAAATGAAACAAGATATAAAAAGATGAAATAAAATATCTGGAGAAAGAAACTAAAAGGAGAATAAATAACTTGGAAGAGAAAGTGATCAACCTTATCTATAGAAATAGACTCCCTGAAAACCAGAACAGACCAAAGAGAAATCACTGACTCTGTCAGATACCAAGAAATATCAGAACAAAACAAAAAAACTGAAAAAATAAAAGAAAATATAAGATATCTGATGTATATTTTAAAATGACCTGGAAAACAGGTCAAGGAGAGATAATTTAATAATCACTGGACTCCCTGAAAACCATGACTAGTATTTTCTCCTGTTCTATTAAAGACTATCTCACTCTTATCCCATCAGTTTACAGCCACAGAATCTTAAAGCAGTGTTGAACCCCCTTATTTTTATAAATAGAGAAACCATGTGGCTTGGACAGGGAGGACAATGTTCATGAGGACTGCCTATGTCCCATGTTCACCTTGGTGATGGTAGAAGAAGGGCTTAACTGTCAGGTTTACCAAAAGAAAAACACATTGGACTTCAGTGTGAAAAAAATTCTGCTTGCACTATTTATCTGCCCTGCCATAACCATAACATCATCATCATCATGCATAACTTAGAACTTTTCAGTTCCAGGAAAACTTTACTCATAATTCATTAATTCCTATGGAGCTGAAACAACATGACCAAATATGCTGGCCAATGTGGTTCCCTACCTACTGGATTATTTGGGTAGGGAAAAGCCTACACTTCGCTCTTCACCTTCTAGAATTTCCCCATAGCTGTTCTTTTCTGCATGTCAGTGTATTTTACTGGTAGACACCTCTGGGAAGCAACAGATATTTTTTAGAGATAATGCCACCATCTGAAGATGGAGAGGCCTAAATTAATATTGTAAAAATTACTGGTGGCTTGGCAACTGGATCTCTCCAAGGTAGTCTACACAGCTACACAAGTTCTTGATGCTTACTCCCCTTTCCCATTTACTTTTTAAATTTAAGTCCTCTGTTCTAACCAGGTTGGTATATATACTATCCCCTGAAACATTATATATATATATATATATATATATATATATATATATATAGAGAAAGAGAGAGAGAGAGAGAGAGAGAGAGAGAGAAAATATATATATATATATATATATATATTTCTACCTCTACATCTTCACTAAAACCATTTTCCTGCCTGTAATAACCTCACCCCTCTTCTCCACCTCTCCAAATCTTACATAATCTTCAAATCCAGTTCAAGTCTCATCTCCTCTGACTAGATCTCGGGCCTCTTGATTTCCAGTCAAATAGTAATTTCATTATACTGTGCTGTCATTTTAAAATTATTGGGGAATGAATTTGGAAATACTTATCTCCATGTGTATTTATTTCTCACTTGTTTACACACTCCTATCTGCAGTAGAAAACTAAAAAGATCATAAAATCATTAGAGTATAAGTGCATGAGGGCAGAGATTGTGTTTTATGTAAATCTTTGTATCCCTCCCTCTGGTATAGTGCTCTGAATATAATAGACATCTAATAAATATCTATTGAATTACACTGACACTTGGAGGTATTAACAGATATTTCTATAGTGTGGGAGTCATTGAGGGTTTCTCTCTCCCGTTCTACCTAATTTTTGTGTTTGGCTGAAACGCTAGGGAGCAAAGGGACTAGGTGAAATATAGGCTGGATGAATACATATATGTTAGAGGGATTTGAAACTGGTTGAACAACTATATTTAAAGTGTTGATAAATGGATCAGTGTAAACCTGGAGGGGAGTTAATAGTACCATGACACTGAATGCCCCCTAGCAAATTTGGTGGATTCCCTTGCGTCCAACTTAAGGGATGATATGGACAGGAATTGCAAAGGTGAGTAGCCATGGATGGGTTATGATGTGCATCATTGGAAGGACCATCTACGTGAATAAGCTAATGAATCCTTTTGAGTTTATGAATGTAATGAAGAAAAATTTTAGGCACTAGAAGTATATTCACTCCTTGGATCATAAGGGGCTGGGGACTAGTGGTACTGACATTTTAAAGGGACCAGAATTTTCCCTCTTATTCCCATTTCCTTGACTTCAGAGGTCTTGCCCACCCTGCTTCCTCTTCATCCTTCAGTCTGTTTGTCAGATACAGTTGTCATAAAAGCCACTACCTTGCAGAATGTCTAGGATAGACTTTTCATTTAGCAGGATTCCCTGGGAGCTCAGGGTAATGTTGGAATGAATAGCCTATAAATTGTTGGGGTGGAGGGGGAAAGAAGGGACAGAGAGAAAGGGAATATTGTTCTAACCCTTGAAGGGGCACAGGCTCTCGAGCGCACAATCAGGAAGGCAACCACTCCTCAGCATCACTATTTCCCTTACCTTTTGGCTGCCTGTGCTAATAAGCTTGCAGGAGGCCCCAGCTCCTGGTTGCCATGACAACCACAAGGAGCCAGCCATTAGCGCCATTACGCAGGATGCTCAAGCCCCAGCTGAGATGCAGTGAGGAGTGCAGAGAGTGAGAGAAAGACAACCAGGATCTCACTGCCTTAGCTACGAGCATCCAAAAGAGGCCAATGTAGATGCTGGCACAAAGAGGGAAAAGAGAACAGGAGAAGAAGGGGTGGGAAAAGCCAGTGATTCGGGGGCTTCTGAAGCTTGCCTGGCGTGGAGTCTGAGCTGGAGGATGGGCAGGACATCAGTTTGACTATGTGCAGCAACAGCAGCACCTTCACATCAAGGATGGACTGACCCTGGAGAGGGAAGAATTTAGCACATAAGGAGCAAACGTTTGAAGTCCCACTAGGTGAGTAATTTTAAATTTTCCCTTTCCTGGAGGAAACCTTATGTAAAATATGGTTATATCTTGACTAGCACCTTTGTGATGTACTTTATACTGGGGAGCATTTTACCTTCCTGAAATCCTGCAGTTGTTTCAAGGTGTTGTTATTCCCTATACTTCACACAATAGCACAACAGCTGCAGGCACTGGCCCACACACACATTTGTGCGAACACACACAGGAGGGCATATAAAGAGATGTAGCACACCCTAGAGCCTCTGCATTCCACAGGATCAGAGCAGCAGAGGACTCAGTTTCCTAGCCTTTCTCATCATTAAGCTTTCTGTTCTTCCCTTGCAGTCAAAGAAAGCACGGCACTAGATGATCTAATGGGATACCAGGTGGAAGAGGTATTGTCGAATAGGCCTTTGATTGCTTTCTCTGGCTAACGGGTTATGTCCTTCCCTATGATCTGAAGTAAGCAAAACCCCCCTCTGCATCTGGAGATAGAATTGATGCACAAAAATATAATGAATCTTTCTTATTCCAGCAGAGGGCACTAGGATACACGCATATTATATGTGTGTAAACACCAAGATGATATATGTAGATGTGCATATGCACACAGAGGGTATCAACAAAGATTGTGGAATGCCCTCTCCAGGATTTTTAACCAAAAAATGATTTAAAACTATGACTTACTACATGCAGAGGGATCGCCTTAATGACATTTGGAGAGCACCATCTAGTTTTGGGAGTGTATGACTACCATTTACTAGATGGTATGTTGAAGATCCCAAATGAAAAGCCTTATTTAGATTAGCACTAATATCTTATATTTTATGTATTCTTTTTTTTCAAAAGGAGGTAAAAGACCACCTTTGCAGAACCAGGTGCCTTCTAGGATGTGCTCTTGGATGAAACCTAAGTTGGGTTTTTCAGGTAAATTTAGTGATGATTCTGTCTCTCAGAATCCAGGCTTCTGGAGAGGCACAGCATAAGTATTCATATTTTCATCAGAGGTTACATTCATCTTGTGAGCTGGCAAGAATGCTAAGAGAGTTTAAGAATGAAGGTGATACAGCAAGAAGGAAGGAACCATCTCCCTAGAAATGGGGGTGGTTTGGTATCACTCAGACCGGATGACCTGAATTCCATGGCAAGAGAAGGGGACAGGTCAAGATTTATACCCTTGTAAGTGAGAACACAGGAATCCTGCAGATTTATAGATTATATTTCTCTTACTATAAACCAAAGTCAGTAAGTAACAGTATTAGAAAGAAGAGGTGATACTAATACCTCTTAAAATGTATAAGGTTTTATTTTTCCACTAAACTAAAAGTCCATCATAAATGGAATAAGAAGTCAAATAATTCAATTTTCTTGGAGATCTTCAAGAAGAGATTAAAGACCTAGTCCTGGGCAAGAGTGGATTTCATGATTTCTGGAGTGTCCTTCCAACTTTTAGATACTACAGTTCCTTCATGAATGCTCAGCGTAATCCTGTGAGTTAGAAACTGCCCAACTGAGCAAATTAGCATGACCCTACAGGCCAAAGACCTCAAAGAAATTAGGTCATGTCAAAAAGAACCAAGGCCTCAGGCAAGCAAAGTAAAAGTTTTAACAAAACCTGGCAATGTAACCCACACTAGGCTTCCTAGTTTAGTTGCTTTCTATTGTCATTGCACTAAGCAACCATCAGTGAACTGGTAAACATGTTAACGGGTTACTCTACTACTTGGAATCCTCAGCAAAGAACTTTTATTGATCTTACAGCCAGGGAAACTGAGGCACTTTTCTAAGATGATATGAGCCAGTGGAAAAGTTAGTGTCAGGGTAACTCAGTAGAAGAAAACAACATGAAAACTAAAAGATTTTTTTTCCCCTGCTAACAGAATGAAGCCAGATTTTGTATTGCTACTTCTACCATATTACTCATCTTTACATTCCCAGGTACTGGCCTCAACAATCCTTACTTTTGTGGCTGTTTATATACTTGTAGCATTTGTAGACAGTTGTAATAACCTCCACCCTACCCTTTAGTCATTATCTTTTCTAAGCTTCGCTCATGGGCACGCACATACAGACACACACACACACACAGACTTTGTTTTTTCTCCTTTCATCTGTCTAACCTCATGAAGCAGTGACTCCATTCCCCACCACCCCACCCCTGGGCTTCCCAGCTCTTATGTTTCTCCATGCCATGTGCCTGGCACAGTGGACTATTGATGCTATTCCTTTAAAAGTGAGCATGGTTCATCTCACCTATTCCTCAGCTTTCTTCAGCAGGAGAGAATTCAGCAGCAGTTATATTGCACTGGCTTTGTTTGTGTAGTCAAAGTTGGCCTCTAATGCTCAGTGTTAGAGTCAGTTCCTGTATGAGGTAGTGCTGATAGTGATATTTGGCTGCCCCTGAAGGGAGACTTGGGATACACACACCAAACCCACTTCCCTTTGGAATACTGCAGGCCCACCTCTACAATGGGGGCCTGCCAGATTCTCATGAAGCCAACTCACGAAGCAGAACTTGAGGAAAATTCTGATCCCTGCCCATTCACCCCTACCCCTAGAAAAAAATGTGGTGTTTTTTTTGGTTAGGCAATGGGGTTAAGTGACTTCCCCAGGGTCACACACTAGTAAGTGTCAAGTGTTTGGTCTGAGGCCGGATTTGAACTCAGGTCCTCCTGAATCCAGGGCCGGTGCTCTATCCACTGCACCACCTAGCTGCCCCCCCAAATTTTTTTTTAAATATGGGCTACTCCAAAGGCCACTGTGAAAATGCCTGATTGCTCTGGTCTAGGCCCTAATATTTTCTAGGCATCTTTCAGCACTTTTCAATTTCCAAAGCAGGTAGACTACACTCATCTTTGAGAGACATGAAAATTTTTTTAAGATATTAAGGTTATGAATCAGGGAATTATCATATTATCTACAATTTACTTTTCTGTGTACATGTTGTATTTCTCCTACCCTCCAGTAGAGTGTAAGGCTCTAACCTCTCTCCTGGTCTCCATTGTCTCAATCTCCAACAGCTTATTAGACAGCTCAAACTCTATGTTTTGTAGACAACTTAAACTTGACAGGTCCAAAACTGAACTCATTGTCTTTTCCCCTGAACCCTCCTCTTTTCCTAACTTCCCTATTACTATAAAGGGTGTCACCATCCTTCCAGTTACTCAGGCCCTCAACCTAGGTGGCATCCAGGTGGGAACCCTTGCCATATTCAGTCTGTTGTCCAGACATGTTGATTCTACCTTTGCAACAACTCTCATCTGACATTGCTACCACCCTCATTATCTCATACCTGTACAGTATTATAGTAACCTGCTGGTCAACCTCCCTTCCTCAAGTCTCTCCCCACTTTAGTCCATTCACCATTAAGCTGTCAAAGAGATCTTCCTAAAGTTCAGGTCTATTCGTGTTGCTTCCCTATTCAATAAACTCCAGTGACTCCCTGTTGCCTCCAAGATCAAATAAAAAATCCTCTATTTGGCTTTTAAAGCTCTTCACCACCTGGCCCCTTCCTACCTTTCCAGACATCTTATATCCTACTCTCCTCCAGACACTGTGCAATCTAATGACATTGCCTCCTTTCCGTTCCTAATACAAGATGCTCCACATCCTGACTTCAAGTGTTTTCACTGGCTGATTCTTTCCCTCCTTATCTCTGCCTTGTTGCCTTCCCTACAAGAAGCTTCTGAGATTACCTCCAATTTCTCCTGTACCTATTTCAATCTGTACATAGTTGTTTGCATATTGTCTCCCTCTATTAGACTCTCAGCTCCTTTAGGGTAGGGACTGTTTTTTTTTCTTCATTTCTTTGTATCCTCAGAGCCTCACACAGTGCCTAGCACATAGTAGGAACTTAATAAATGCTTGCCGACTTTACTTGGCTTCTTTAGAACAGGTATTTTCTTCTTTGCCTTTGAATAAGTAGCACAGCTAATATAATGCCTTGCAAAGTATATATCCATTTATATTTATATATCCATTTATATATATTTATGTATCCATTTGTATATATGTATGTGTGTATATATATATATTTATATTTATACATCCATTTATATATATTTATGTATCCATTTGTATATATGTATGTGTGTATATATATATATATATTTATTTATTTATTTATTTATTTATATTTATATATCTCCATCAGATTGAAGTGAATGGAATATAATCTTAGAGCTGGAAGAGACCTCAGAGTGTATCTAATTAAATCCTTACCTGGAGCCTGAATCCCTTATACAATATCAATGAGAAGTCACCACACTCCTTTTGGAATGATGGAGAAGTTTACAAGCTCCCATAACAACGTAATGTACCTTTTGGACAGCTCTAATTGTTAAGTGTTTTTTCCTTATATAGAGCTAAAGTGTCTCTCTGCAACTTCCACCCCATACTCCTATTCTTTCTGGAGCCAAGTAGAACAAACCAAATCCTTTTTTTCACATGACCTTCCTGAATTTACTTCCCAACTCTTCTTTTTATTCCCAACATCTTCTTTTCCCCTAGGTAAGCATTCTCAGTTTCTTCAAGCACTACCCAATATGGCATGTCCCCTAACCAGCCTAGTCACCCTCTCGAAGTACTTCAGTTTGTCTTTGAAAAGAGACACACACATTGTACATAGAAAGTATATTCAAAATGAATACAAGTTAGTGTTAAGGGGGGCACTAAGAAGAGAAAGGATCAGGGAAAGGTTTCATGTAGAGATAGGAGTACTTGAACTGAGTCTCAAAAGGAAAAATAGAGGATTCTAAGGAGCTGAGGTGAGGAGAGAACGTATTCCAGCCAGAGGAAAAACAAGAGACAGGAAATGGGGTTCCATGTATGAAGAACAGTAGTAAGGCCTATTTGGCTGGACTATAGAGTGTGAGAAGGGAAATAATTTATCATAAAAATAGAAAAGTAGTTTGCAAATGCCAAACATCTCTCCCTGTCTACCAGCTACTTCCCTATTGCTTATAAATATGTCCATGTCTCCCCTGTCCTAAAAAAACAAAAAACAAAAA